CATCACAGTCGACTGGTCGGTAAGATTTCCAGTTATATTTTGTTTGATGAACTTTACGCCGTAAGTTTCAAGCGCTTCATCAAAAGCTAAATAGTGTCCCTCATTTGCAAGATTTACCGAGCATACAGTTTGTAGCAATTTCTGTAGCTGTGGATCATCATGAACTTGAGCTAAAAAGTGCGTTACGGAACTTGCGTACTTAAACTTTTCACCTGCAGGGAAAAGGGGTGCGAATGCAGCCAAATTTGCTATCTGCATTCTATAATTTCCCTTTCTAATTCCAATTTTATGCCACACGAAGTATCCTGTCCAACAGAAGAAAAGATACCATACCTTCGTTAATTGATTATCACCCTTCAAAATATCGTTCATGATTTCCCCTTTGTCTTTCACATGCTGAGATAACGCAATTCTGACTGTAATCCAGATCAATTCCAAAACACGGCACGTTACCCTGTAATCTACGATGCATTCAGATTTATCTAAGTATTGTACGCCAAGGGCTGCTGCAATGTTGAATATTTCATACCCTGAAAATATCGTAATTAGAGTGCTGCACATAAGGTTGCTTGCCGAAATCTCTTAGTGACTGTCTAAATTTTGTCGAAATTATAATAAACTATTAGTAAATAACCCATCGAAATTCTGACGAATTTTGAAACCCGTCGTAACCGAAATTATGTCGAAATTCTAATTAACAATTAGTGTGTAATCCATCGAAATTATGACGATATTTTTCTAAAAGTATTTAGACAAGCATCCTTAGCTGCACATATCTTTAGATGTGTGCCACTGCCCCAAGAGAAGTCGAACATCGTTGTTAATTTCCTTATAAGAGATTAACCTTGCAAAAATTGCCTGGTCACATGCAATATATAAACGGTCACCACGAGGTAAATCACCACAGTATATTTCGCATGCTGCATAAACATTTTCATTACAATTGGGTGGATCACCAGGTTTCAATATCACGACATTTGTTGGTAAAGTATTACGAACTACAGGTACTTGTTTGATGATTTCTGAATGCACATCTTCCATACCAAAGTTATTTATACGAGTTTCTAACATTGTATTCAAAATAGTCTCATATATCACTAGAAGATTGTTGGTGATTGAGGATTCCCCGAACAGTGGTTGATTGACGGAATTCTGGTCTCCGACTAGATTGTCAAGAGAGATAGACAGAACAAACTGAAATACCATTCGTAATGTTGCATGTGAAGTTTGTCGTGTAGTGTCAAAAATATTGCCATATTGAAACGTAGAAGCCTTGAAGTCAATATTGTCGATTACTGCCAGATTCCAAATATTTGATCCTTTGATTAAATTCTTTCTAGGATCTGTATAGCGAATTCGGGATTCTTCAAGACGATTCTCATGCCGCTTGATGTAAGATACGACACAAGCTGAACGGAGGATCTCTCCTAGGTACGGCAATAATTTTGGTTTTTGAAAAATTGACGACATTATATTTGAAAGCCAGAATTTCACTCCAGGAAAAGTGATGGTCAGCAACATGGAAGTTAATAAAGTAGTGATCTTTGATACTTGACTTGTGTCAAGTGATTTTGAGGGAAGTTCACGTTGGCATCTTTTTTTATTAATAATCTTTTGCTTTCGTTGTTGTAACACTGTAATGAGAGCTTGAAAGAAGCTGCAAATGATGTTAGGCAGCGCATTGAAATAGTTTTCATATGAGTCTGGATTTTTTAGTTGACTGATATTTTTTTGAATTTCAGAATATGAGAATAAAACTTCTCTTCCTAATTTTTCACCCATCTTCGAAGCCTTTTCCGGAGTTATTACATAAGTTCTTTCCTTCATTGCTTTATCTTTTCCCATTTTTAATGCTATTCTAACAATTAACTTGCTTGGGAGATTTGTCGTTTCGATTTCCGGTGAGTTTTGGTCTGCTTTGTTAAGAATGATTAGTGTTGGAGTTATCAGTGCAAGGAGTCCTTCTTGCAGATTTAGATCACTTGACTCTGCTATTGATATTAACCATTTTCTGATATCTCTTAGAGCATCACTTGTATCATCGCAATGCTTCCCACGTTCAGTACATGATACAGTTTTTTGGCCTTTACCCAATCTTTTGTAAAAGTGCCCACCCTCTTGTTGGAAGCATTCTGAGCAGATGTAACGTGCATGAGAACTTGTGAATGATTTTTGTGCAATGGATCCCTCAGTAAATGCGGAACAATCAAAAGTACTGACACATGACACTTGAATGTTGCATCCATTGATGTTTCATAAATGCGTCTCACAACAGTCTCCACGGCTAAAGAAGCATTTTTCTTGTTACAGAAAAGACAGAGACGAATATGGATGATGCTCTGCTCAATTGAACGTGATTGTTTCATGCCTTGGTCATGAAGCTTGTTCTGGTCAAGGATGAAATGAGAATAACATACTCCAAGACAATGATCACTATCTTTAGCATCTTCAACTGCATTCGCGCCTATCTCCCATGTTCCTATCATTTGCTCCAATCGACGTAGGCTTGTCGTGCTATCACAACGCTTTATTTCGCCTTGATTAGTATCTACAACTACGCATGGCGTTAGTTTCTGATTTTGCGTGGGGGTCCTTTCGATTATTGTATCTTCTACATCATGCATCGTCAAAAAAGATTCATAAAGGTCAGAATCTTCAACTTCAATTTCAGTCCAGTCTACGTCATTGTCATCATCATTTAGCAAGACTCGGGCACTTGCAAAGGAAACTTGATCGATGTCAAAAATATCCTCTTCACCATTTTCTTTGAAAGCATTGAAGTAAGTAAATTCTGAATTATTCATTTTGTCAGTAGTTTAATTAAGATTGATGTATTGTTGCGTACTACTATTTTAATCGGTCAAAGAGGAGTTTTTA